TTGTTCCTTGATCCTGTAATCAGAAGTTGCTCTAAAGGTTTGACTAGTTTGAATACTTCCTAGGGACTGTGTGTGCCTCATACCTTCCCTTTGGGGAGGCCAACGGTTTCTCACTGCCTCACTTGTAGTAATGCTGTTTGATCAGTGGGTTTAGGAGGTGACAGGCTGATCTTTCCATTCTTGAGTTCTACATCAACATTTTACCTAATAGTTTAACTTATTAGCATTGCATGCATGAATTTTTTACTAGGGGGTTGCAAAGTGGTCATTTTATACTTGTGTCATTCTTTGCATCTCTATCAGCTGGAATTCTTCACTAAAAAATAATTACTCTCTGATAACCATAATGGTTACTTTGAAGTATAGAAAGAGCAAGGCAAATAAATGCTCTCCTCCTTTTTTTTTTTCTCTCCTAGTTGTGCTCAATTAATTAGGTGCTTTTTTGTTTTGTTTCTGTTCCCAAGAGAGCTTTTCCTTTTTCTCCTTGAGTAGCAAAATTAGTCCTTGAGTTTTTATATCTTAAATATATTTTGGCCAATTGCATGTGTTATCTGTTATGTTCAGTTTCTCTAATCTTTGACCCAGGGGAGCTCTTTATCTGGACTCCCATGTGTTCTGACGTGACCCGTTAGTTATTGGTAGTGCATTGCTTTTCCTTTCCATTTTCAAAAGAAAAGAAAAAATGAGAGGCCATAGAAGCATTAGCAGGCACCTGTTTCCCAAGCCACTCTTCTTTTCACTTTTCCAGTGCACCTTCCTGAAGCCACCAGAGATGCTGCCTCTTTACTTCCATCCCTTTTCCTCAGTATTTCCTTCTGTGGGAAAAGGGAAAAGACAAGAACAGAAAGGCCCCCCCATCACAATATCATGGTGGTTTATAGTTGGTCGCATCTGCATTTGGAGCAATTAATTACTGGTACAGAAAGAACCTATCTTGTTTATTTTTCCTTAGACATTTCCTTAATATCGCAAGAGTATCTGTTAGTATCTCAGAGGTCTGTTAGGCCAAAACGAAGCATTTAATAATGTTTGTCCTTTTATAATTTTACAATCAAGAATGAAAATTTGGGAAACAATGTAATACAGTCTCATAAACTTGATATTAGATACATAAAATAAGCATATAATGGAAATCACAAGTCTGCTTTCTAGGTGCAATTGGATATAATGACTAATTCTGAAAAACATTTTTCCATCTTCTGACTGCAGTCTTTCATTCACACTAGCCTTAGGTCAGGTCTGAGGCATCATGGCTTCTTTGAGATTCAGAAGAAAGGAGGATTGGCAGACTAAGTGGCTAATGCCAATAATTTCAGCAACCCTAAATATTACGGCATATAATATTTAGAATATATTAATCTAAAAAGGCTTCCTTTGAACTCCATCCTCCTTGGGATAGCCATGAGTTGTCAAGGGAAGAATTCCATAGTCAGCACAAGAGAAGTCTGGGGTCAGTTCCGTAATCCTTTTACAGTGTTATTATCATTGTCATTTTTTAAAATACCCAGTTGTAAACATGAAATCTAAAACAAATATAGATTTTTTTCATAGTATACTTATTAATAAATGAAATTTATGGAATGAATTTAGGGATGATTTACTTTAATACAATCACCTTTTGTTTTGGAAGGGAAAAAGTAAAGAGAATAAACTACCCAGTTGTGTTTTTATCTGAAATAAAGACATCTACTTTATTTTACTGTACCAAGTCTGAGCAGGAAATGGATACTTCCCCTGGTCTTCATCTGAATATATCTAATGCTCCTGTAAGGATTATGTATATCTTCTGTGAAACTCCGTTACTCATTTTTATGTCAATTTTATATTCAAAGCAATATTTATTTGTACTCTATACCTGTATGTGTGTATCTGTCATGTTACTCCTTAAACTATGAGGGAAAGGGATTGAGATTATATGCTTCTTCACTTATAACTGGGCACTTCTTTATTAAAGTAAAAAGATTCTCTCAGAGACTGTAGGTTATCAAGATATTCAGTAATGCAAGGAAGATAACTTGTTGGGCTGATAATAGATTAAGAAGAAGCAAGATTTCCAGGCATTTGTGCTCTGGAGAAAGGCTAAAGGTCCACCTTTGAAGTTATTCCATTGTTGGTGGATAAGAAATCCCTTGGTTAATGTGATAGTTTCTGGTAGTTCCCCTCCTCCCCAACCCCCTTTTAGCAAAGAAGAAAGGTAAAGTGGCTGTTGGATTTTGACTTAGATAAACTGGTGGCACAGCATATGTCTTTGTCAGAAACCACCCTGTTTAGATCATATGTGGTGCTGTGGAAAAACACATTGCTTTTGAACTTCAGAAAATTTAAAAGTTTATACTTGTACAAGTGGGGAATCTTAAGAGCTTAGCCATAAAGTTGGTGTTTCAGGAAAACTTCGTAGGACACACTTTGTAGATTTTCTTCTGTTTACATTTATTTATTTGTTTGTTTGTTTGTTTTTGATACCAGAGATTGAGCCCAGGGGCGCGCTTAGCTACTGAGCCACATCTCCCAGCCCTTTTGGTTTTTATTTTGAGATGGGATCTCACTAAGTTGGTTAGGGCCTTGCTAGCTTGCTGAGACTGGCTTTGAACTTGTGATCCTCCTGAGTCAGCCTCCTGAGCTTCTGAAGTTACAGGTGTGTGCCACTGCACCCAACCCATTTGCCATTTTTAATTTGATTTAGTATGTATACTCAACTTGTTTTGGTACTGAGATTGAACCCAGGGATGCTTTACCACGAGCCACACCTCCAACCCCTTTTATTTTTTGAGACAGGATCTCATTGAGTTGCTTACGGTCTTGCAAAGGTTTGATAAGGCTGGCCTTGAACTTGGAATCCTCCTGCCTCAGCCTCCTGAGTTGCTGGGATTACAGGCATGCACCACCACACCCAGTCCTAGGCTTTTTATTGCCTGTCATGAGAAAGCCAAAGTAGGATCCTGGCTTTTTCCAAATTGTAGGAATCTTTAATAAAACTTTCACAAACCCAGCCACTCTGATGGAAATCACTGTATACTACTCACTGCTAACAAAGGAAGAAAGAAGCCTTCTTTGCTATGTTAAGGCAATTCAGAGGTACAAGAATCTCCTATGGGATTTTTATGTGTAGGTCTGGGAAACCTAAGAGTGGGGTTATGCATCACCCCTGCTCTGCTCTAAGCTGGCACACTGGATCATGGCTGCTTTTCCTGGTGAGTAGGCTTCTTCTGGACCAAGTCCTCCAGGGACTCCCTCTAAGGAGGCACTCTAAATTGGCATTCCAGATGAGGTTTAACATCAGTTCTCCTCCTTGATGGGAGAAGAAGAGCTAAGACATTCTGAGAATTACGTGTCTTGAAATGGAATCTGCCAAGTTTAGCCTATATCGTAGGAATGCAGGCTTGGCCATCATGTGACTCCTGGCCTTACTAACTGGGTGACAGTGGGCAGGGAGTTTAGTCTCCAAGCTGCAGCTTTCTCTTGTTTTTGTTTTTGTTGTTGTTTTTAAGTTGTGAAGTGGAAACAAGTTGTACCTACTTGAGAATTTTGAGGATTAAATAAAATGATTTTTACAAAGGGCTTAGTATACTCTCTAGCCCAACAGTTCTCAAACTTTGAGTCTCAGAGCCCCTTTATACTCATACAAATTGAGGACCCCATCAAGTTTTTGTTTTTATAGTTTATATGTATTATAAATTAAGACTAAAAGTTTTTACAAATATGTATTAATGTTTAAAATTATAATAAACAACCCACTATATATTAAAATAAACATTTTATGAAAAATAAGGAATTTTTTTTTCCTTTAGAGAAAATTTAGTGAGAAGAGTCACCTATTTGCTCTGCATTAAATTTGTTGCAGTATCACACATCACGCAGATTCTGGAAAATTCCACTGTGCATATATGAAAGTCTGAGAATGAAAAAGACAAATAATATTCTAGTGATAGTTTGAAATAGTTTTTACTTCATGGACCTCTGACAGTATGTTAGGGCCCTCAGACCATTTGGGAATCATTGGTCTAGCCAATAGTTAGCACCCAATACATTGTAGTTATTATTATACATGAGAACTTTTATAGCTAGTGAGTACTACACAAATGTTAGTGATGAGAAATGTAAGTCATGGCTTCAAAACTTATTATATACATTCATGAAGGGTCCCCCAAACGATTGTACTTCAGAAGAAACTGTGTTTTTCAAACAAATTCTAGCATTACTTAATGGAGTTCTTTGAGTTTAAAGGCTCAATTTTTACTTTCAGAAATTTCCTAATTAAATATATTATCATAAAGCTTTCTCCTTTTTTTTTTTCCTAGAAGAAAGTCTTTTATTTTTTTTCTTCTTCAGAGTAACAGGTCTTAGTAGAGAGTTGTAATTAGATATTTACTCTGAAATAACTGACAGGATTGGTATGGGGTTATAGCAGTCCACCAGTTGTAAAGAGGAAGTGTGGTCCCATTGTTAACCAGGTTGGGTTTTGTGATTGACAGATCAATTTTGATTTATTGGTTGCAGAGCTTTGACCAAAAACATTTATTACTGTTTAATTCTTAGATACAAGGTTTTGTTTTGTTTTGTTTGCCAGGCATGGTGGCACACGCCTATAATCCCAGAGGCTTGGAAGGCAGAGGCAGGAGAATCATAGGTTCAAAGCCAACCTCAGCAACAGTGAGGTGCTAAGCAACTCAGTGAGACTCTGTCTCTAAATAAAATGCAAAACAGGGCTGGGGATGTGATTTGGTTGTCATCTCGAGTGCCCCTGAGTTTAATCCTTGGTACCAATAAATAAATAAATAGGTTTTGTGAAATGGGTTTAGACTGTAAAGATCCAAAGTACAGGTGACATAACAAATAACTTATACAAGTTGTTTTAACAAAAATGTATTTTATATGATTCACGTCTTTATGAGAGCTATGAATATAGTTTATAACAATACTTGTAGTTTGTAGACATAAAACCTCTAATTAAATCAATTTTCTCCTTTCTCCCACTTTTTCTTTGGGTTGGCTGTGTGTAGATCATGGGGAATTCATATGCTGGGCAACTGAAATCTGCTCGATTTGAGGAAGCTCTCCACAACTCCATAGAAGCCTCGCTCCGATGTAGTAACGTGGTACCACGTCCCATTTTTTCCCAGCTGTACTTGGACCCTGAGCAGCATCCTTTCTCATCTGCAGGTAAGTTCCTCAGTCATAGACATTTCTAGGCTCCTTTAAAAAGAAGTGGGGATTCTAAATCCTCGGAGCTCTGAAATCAATTGGCTAAATATTAGAAAATGCTAGTCTCCCACTCTTCAGACATTATCTTTCAGAACTATGAATTTTTCTTCTGATTATTTTCCCATAAGCATCTTTTTATTAAAAAGTCACTGATTGCTTTGTTTCTCAGATGTCAAGCCCAAGGTAGAGGATTTGGATAAAGATTTGGTACACCGCTACACTCAAAATGGCACTCTAGATTTTTCTAACAATTTAACCGTTAATGAAATGGAAGATGACGAAGATGATGAAGAAATGTCTGATTCCAACAGCCCACCAATTCCCTATTCACAAAAACCTGCCCCAGAAGGATCTTGCACAACAGACGGTGGGTTTCAGTTTTGTTTTCTTGCTGTTTTCCTCTCTAATATTGGCTGGTCTGTTTCCAGTCATTGCATGCAATGCTCAAGGCTGGAAACCAGTAATTAGGGAAAGAAATGAGGAGTGGTTATGTTCTCACTCCCTTTGCCCACTATGACTTCACAGCAGGTATCGACCCCATTTTATAGATTAAGAGACTGAGATTCACACTTGAATAACTTCTCTGAGAGGACCTGTGCAAAGGCAAGTCTAGACAGGTCAAGGTTTTTCCAGTACTCCCTGTACTTCCTGCAAGCATGCTGCTGTCAAGCTGGGTGTAGTAGCACAGGCCTGTAATCCCAGTGACTCAGTAGGTGGAGGCAGGAGGATCACAAGTTCAAGACCAGCCTTAGCAAATTAGTGAGGCCCTGAGCAACTCAACAAGACCCTGTCTCAAAATTTTAAAATAAATAAATAAATAAAAAGAGCTGGAGATATACCTCAGTGGTAAAGTATTCCTGGATTAAATCCCCAGTACCAACAATAACAACAACAAAAGAAAAAAAAGAAAGAAAGAAATTTTCTGTCTTAGGAAACATTTTAGTATTTCCTTTTTCTCCTCATTTTCACCCCCACCCCTGAATAAAAATAGAGACACTAGATGCTTTATATTTATCTTTTATGCTTATTTTTTTAAAAAAAACTTTCAGTTGTAGAAAGCAGTACCTTTATTTTATTTATTTATATTTATGTGGTGCTGAGGATCAAACCCAGTGCCTCACACATACTAGGCAAGTGCTCTACCACTGAGTTACAACCCCAGGCCCCTTTTATGCTTATTTTTAACACTTATCTAGTGTAAAGGCAAAAATTATAATTTTTTATAAATTACAAAATTAAAAATTTATGTAGGATAAAAATATAAATAGTAAGATAAACTTGCTTTACTTACTTGTGTCAGCCTTCTCTTCCATCAAAGGTTAGGCTGCATTTTTAATAAGAAAGCCCTGGTTTCTAACATTTTTGGTATTTTGTGGTTTTGGTGCTATCACAACTTAAATTCTACTTTCCTCCCTCCATTCAGTTGTGACTTTCTGACCATCAGCCTAATTAATGTGTAGGTTTCACTTTATCCAGATCAGCTAGAGTGCAATTTTTATGATTAAATTGACATAGACCTGAGATAATGTCAATATATGAATATCTTGGAGAGAAGACATTGGGATGGGAAGAAGAGGGATAAAATCTCAGGACAGTCTCCTTCCAAAGTTTGAAGTGCAAATAATTTGGGATAAGCTAAAGATACAAATATACAAAGCCAGATAAGTAGTTTGCATTGTTTGGGAGTTTTAGTTTCTCTTGACTTCTGCCAACCCTCCTGATAATCTGATAACCAGTAAAGGAGTTAAAATCCCCTACCAAGAGGGTGAAGACCTGAATAAAGCTCCTGCTAGCTTATCTGAGCCTGATTCACTACAAGTGGTCTCTAACAATTGGTACCATTGTTGGTTTTTTTTGACTTGGGCCTACCTCCAAGACATCATTCTTTATGAATTTGCTTCCACTTACTATTGATTCCTTTTGCTCAGTATCTCTCTCTCTTCCTCCCCCCCCTCCTGGTGTGAGAGATGACCAGCATTGTTTTTACTTATTGGCTTTATATCCATTTTTATGCTGTTTGTCTAACTGAACCATCAATTCATAATTATCAAATAAAAACTAGAAGTTGAAATAGCACTTGTACTTGTTGAATTCTCATTATGAATCTTGTTATATTGGAGAATTGAGTAGAACCAGAGTAAAAGGTTTATATACCAAGAAATAGGGGAGAAGTTTCCTGTCTCAGGTTATTCTAAGTATGTTTTGAGTTTGCCTGTTGAGGTGTCTGACACTGGTATTATTCATGATCAGGTATGGAAAGCTGTTTAGTACCCAGCAAGATATAAACCAAGTGGTCTAAGGTAGCAAATATTTCTTAAATTTTAAAATATGAGAACATAAGAAGTATATAGGAAGTGCAGTCATTATTTTAAAGATAAAGGAAATGCAGTTTTCTGAGAACAAAAAACTATCCCCACCCAAGCAGGAGACTGAAATTCCAAGACCATCTGAAAGCAGAGTTCTGTATCTGCTACTTTAGTTTCTTATAATTAGCATCCATTATCCATTTTCCCCTCTTAATTCACCTGGGGTGGCAATTCAAACAAACAATAGTTTATAATTTGCTTGTTTTTTGCTTATGTAACTTTTTTCAGTCTGGCTTATTCTAAAATAATTCTAAGAATCTTCATACTCAGTGGGAAAAACTTCTCTTGAGAATTTCCTTATTAAAATGGCAGCAAAATAGGACAATATAACAAATGCTTGGACTTGTTGCAACTCATCGTCTTCCCTACGTGGGAAAATCCTCTATTTACCTAAGGCTTAAAGGAAGGTAAAGCTATTTTTAGAGGCAATTTAGATAAGCAGATATTAACACCTGACTGATTGCTGGAGGTTACCATTCAGATGTAAATTTTGGTTGCTAATTTCTTATGTAAATTATTGGAATAGTGTAGGTTCCTATCCTGCTGGGAGGCAGTTGATTGTCTAAAAGGGTGAAGGGCAACCAAATTTTAGGCCTCCAAATACCGCTTTGATTACTTTGGTTTGTGTTTACAGCTGTTTCAGTAAACTTCCCCTCCCCCTTTTGTTGACTCTGTAACCTTCAAGTTGGAGATAATTGAAGAATGCAAATTGTTTCAGTGAAGTGAAAACCTTGGCTAGTTTCTTAAGAAAATGCAGGTGAAGTTTATTAAAAAAAAAAAAAAGGACCCTCTACTATTAGTTCCCCCTCCCATTTTTAAATTAAAATTATCTGCTCTACAAGAGCTTTGCTTTTAGGACAGCATTTTAGAATTACTCTCAGAAAATGAAATTATTTTGGAGGCAAGTTTGTGAATGTATCCCATGTAGATAACTTATCTTTCTTTCCTTGTTTACAATAAACAGACTTTGAGCCTTCCTTAGGGAACTGTGAGCCCAATCTACTAGTAGTCTCTAAAGAACGATCAAATTAGCCATTCAGATATAATAACTTCAGATGTAATTCAGAATTAACCTTGCAGAGGAGTACATAGGTTTCTTTTCATTCAGTTTGAGGTTTTAATTGAGATTTAATATCTGATATTTATTAGATTAACAATCTGACATATTTCTAATAGTGGGAATGTTTAACTACTTGCCACACTGGATATTAGGATCCTACAGGTCTCGAAATCTAATCACATTTCATAGTTTCTGTAGCTATCCCACAGACATAGCTTATTTTCGGTTTAAAAAAAAATAAGATAAATAATGCTCTCAGCACAATGTTTTTTATTTTCTAGGGATTCCTGATGACAATGTATATAATTATATCTGATTTAAAGCTCAACAATGAGGGTTTGGAGAAAACAATCTGTAAATAGATGTTTACAGCAAAACACCAACCCCTTGGCAGGTGAACTTATTCTCAAAATAACTACAAACTGAACTGAGGAAACTTTCCTTGGTTTTGTAACCATTTTTGGCCCCAAATTGAATTTTTTCTTGACCCCATTTTAAACTCAACTATTGTCTTCCCTTTTTCTCCTATTTTATTCTTAATTGCATTGCCTGTGTGAATAGAACATAAAAAGATAAAATAGGACTATTTATTGTATAAAATAGACTTTATGTTGCTCAGAGGATTCCAGTTTCAGACATCGGGAGCTCTTTCTGTTAGTTCTTGTGTCTTTTTAACAACCTCCATCATTGTGGAGTGGTTATTTTCTTTAAAGCACAAAATTGGAAAATTTATCTTCTCATTGTCACAGGCACCTCTTGCATAAAATATCTCATTGTCACAGGCACCTCTTGCAATATATATATATTTAGGATTGAAGACACATGAAATGTGCTTTTAATGAATAAAATCACAGTGGATAGCAGCAAAGGATGAAGGGCATCAAGGAGAATCTGATAATTCACATTGCGATTATTCTTGCAATATATTTTTAAGAGAAGGCTAGATAGAACACATAGAATTCAGTCATTGCTTAGTAATTATTACTTTTGACCTCTAGGTGTCCTCATACCATAAATAAGAAACCCCTCAAAGGCTGTAATACTCAAAAACTATTTGGGCTTCTTCATTTGAATGAACTATGTAGTCCATTAAAAAAAATTTTTTTTTAGTTGTAGTTGGACACAATACCTTTATTTTATTTATTTATTTTCATGTGGTGCTGAGGATCAAACCCAGTGCCTCACACATGCTAGGCAAGTGCTCTGCCACCTAGCCACAACCCCAGCCCTGTATAGTAGTCCATTTTTGCCACAGAAAATCACTCTGAAATATTTCTTCCCTTGAAAATCCAGTTTGCTTTAGGTATTCTCCACACTGTTCTGGATTCTATCACCATTTAGCCAAGAACCAAAATTGTACTTTCCCTCCTTAATCTCAATTTTGCTACAATGTATTGCTTAGAAATCTCATCAGAAATGTCACTCTCTAAGCATGGATTGATTGCCTTTGTGGCTTGCAACAACTTGCATTTTTTAAAGTGGTATCTCACCATATTGCCCAGGCTAACTTCAAATTCCTGGGCTCAAGTGATTCCCCCTGTCTCAACCACCAAAGTAACTGGGATGGTAGCCAAAAACTACACTGTCTTTAGCCACTGGGCCTGGCTAAAAACTTGAACTTTAAGAACCCATCAGCAAGTATAAGATAGGTGGATAATGATAGTCCTGTGGTTGTCAGGGGCTGGTGTATCAAATGCTCCACAGAAAATTCAGCCTAAAATGGGCACAGAGAAGTCAGGTAATAAAACCCATCTGTAATAGTCAAGGAAGTGATTGTTTAATAAGAGTGTTCTACATCCGAATGGGCGCAGATGAAACATTATGAATCAGGAACCTACTAATGAGGTTGAAGTGCATCTATTCTGGAGTGAAGAGACTGTAGTTCTGGGTCCCACAGTTTCTGGTTTGTGGACGTTTGACCATCGACCATTTTCTAACTTTTTTGAGCCATTTCCTCATTTACATATTAATGGATATTAGAATAGATCAATGTTCCACAAATCTCTTAGTAGGGTAGAAACTTTTGAACTCCTTGGGAGGAGAGTTCAAAAGTTTTATGTCATTGCATTTCATGTGATGAAGACTTGATTTTAAGTAGAAAACATTTATTTTAGATCAGCATATTAATATACTTTTATATTCATACAGTACAGGAAAAATTGTCTAATTTTGTGATTCAACAATTGTTGTTTAGCTGGACATGGTGGCACACACCTGTAATCCCAGTGGCTCAGGAGGCTGAGGTAGAAGGATCAGGAGTTCAAAGGTAGCCTCAGCAACTTAGCAAGGCCCCAAGCAACTCAGCAAGACCGTATCTCTAAATAAAATGTAAAAAGGACTGGGAATGTGACCCAGTGGTTAAACATCTCTGGGTTCAATCCCTGGTACCAAAAATAAATAAATAAATAAATGTTATTTAATTTAAATTGAATGTATAAGAAAAAGCACATTGTGTTGGAAAATTAAAAAATGAAATATACTGCATTTGAGGGGGGCCAGATATATTGACATGTTTTCCAGCACTTTAAAAAAAGTAAAATTCTACTTTTAATACTAAAGTTCTACATTTTAGGGTGCAAAGGATATTCAAATTTATTTTTACAATTTTTGTATTTTTGCTGTATGAAATGAGGAAGTTTTAAACTGCTGTTTGCAGGAAATTTTCTATTGAATGAAATAGTGTTTTCTTTCATTATAAAAAGCCAAACTGGACCATAATCACTCAATTTCTTACTTATATATAACAGTAGGTTTTTTGTGTCCTAGAAATGTATTGGTGCATTTTATATAACCTTATAATTTGATGAAGGGCAGGGAATTAATGTAACTTCTGTGTCTAGCAATGAGCATATTCAGGTATATTTGTAAAATCGCTCTTTTTTGTCCATTAACACAGTGTTAGGTGAACTTCTTGTCCTTAACCAACAGCTCATTATGAATATAAATTAAGCAACATGTCAATACATATGATAGATGGGTTGAAAGTGTGACTCAGTGGCAGAGCACTGGCCTGTCCTGCCTGAGGCCATAGATTCAATCCCCCAGCACTGCTAAATAAATAAATAAATACCCATAGGATCAATCAATTACAACTGGAAATAAAAGCAATTTGAAATTGTATAGTAGCCAAAACCACACGATGATATGGGGTTTGTCTGAATGAGTTATGAGCTCATTCAGCCGGTTTCCAGTAACCCTACAAGTGTTGGATAAGAGGTTTTCAGAACATTCTGTTTTAAAATAGGACATTAGAGGGGCAGGAGTTATAGCTCAGAAGTAGAGTGCTTGCTTTGCACATGTGAGGCACTGGGTTCGATCCTCAGCACCACATAAAAATAAATAAAGTAAATATATTTTAAAGAATAAAATTAAAATAGGACATTAGAATAATCAACTAGTTTTTTAGAAATTGATTATGATGTGTATTTAAATTTCACTTACAGTTCTCAAGTATCTTGTGACACCCTTCTGAATCCCTGGAAGTGGCGATAACCACTTATTGAGAAAGTTGTGCAGATGATCTTGTGATTCCATGTAATTCCATGTCATTTTTTTTGTTCTAAAAAATTTGTAGTAATTTTCAAATTGGTGTAGATTTGTATTTTCCATCTAGTCTTTCTTTCTAAATTGGGTGGGTCAAAGTTGTACAAAGATGGCATTACTACTTTTTAGAGGCAGGTAGCTTCTCAAGCATCCTATTTCTCATTATTAGTATGCTTGTCATCTAAATAGCAAACTTCCCATGTCCTACGTCATTGAACATTACTAGACTCATTATGTAACTTTGTACAAATTCCCTGAACTTTTTCGGAGACTCAGTTTCTCCACCTATGAGGAGAGATACTAGAACTGTTGAGAAAATTAAATAAGGTAATCTATATGATGTTTACAATGTACCTGGCTTATGGTAAGTACTCCAAAACGTCACCCTCCCCATCCTCATCAGTTCCTAAGTTCCCTAAACTTATGAGTGCTGTTCCTTAATGAGGATACAAGAAATAAAATTTTGGGGGGTTTCATATATCCAAAGGCTCTCAGAAATGTTTCTCAACTGAATACAGTAATAGGGCTCACCCATCTATAAATGACTATTTTTCTAATAAATGTAGATGATATTATCAATAATAAAAATGTAGATTCATTTAAAATTGGTAAAGATCTCATAGTAACTTTTTAAAAAAATTTAGTTGCAGGTGGACACAGTACCTTTATTTTATTTATTTTTATGCGGTGCTGAGGATCAGACTTAGTGCCTCGCACATGGTAGGCAAGCACTCTACCACTGAGCTATAGCCCCAGCCCATAGTAACTTTTTTTAGATACCTTTATTTTATTTTATTTATTAACTTTTATGTGATGCTGAGGATTGAACCCAGTGAGATTAGATCAGTGTTCCCCAATCCCATAGTATGTCACGCTAGACCAGCATTCTACCACTGACCTACAACTCCAGCCCCTCATAGTAACCTTTGTATAATACATTTTTTTAATCATAAACTCTAAAATAAATTGATTTTTTAAATGATAAAACTTGAAATGGTTAAGCCCCATTGTATTTATCATTATAGAATTTCTTCTGTTAGCTTTTTTCAATTTCATTTTACCTGCTTTTGAGGTCCAATGATCCAAACCATATGACAGATTTATATATACCACAGGTGTGTACAATGTTTTGATGGAGTTTTCTTTTTTTCTCTCTCATATGCTAATGATGGCATCTAAGTATTTGTTGATGTTTAGTTAAAATTGATTCTGGAAGATTCTACGTAGTTCTTCCCTACTTGGTACTAAGCAATGATGATGGTATTCCCCCCACGTTGTGAAGTTAGGTATGCATCCTTCATTTTTTCACAGCTCCCTGAAATAGCATTTATCATATGTGTATTCAGTCTCTTGTTGAGAGAGACCCAACTGAAACTAGCTTGGGGTGAAAAAACAAAAAAGAAACTAGCTTAGGTAAAATGAAATTATTGGAAGAATTTCAAAGCAAAAAGGTTTCATGACCAAACCATGGAAAGGCAGATACAACTGAGCTTCAGGGATCCAAAAATTGCTAGACTTTCCTCCTCCAGCCTCCTGTCTATGCTGATGGACGTCTCACTAGCAGAGCAGACTGCACTATGTTCTCCCTAACTCCATGTTCAGAATCCTTAGGGAAAATCTTTGATCTGGTTTATGTCAGGTGACCACATATGGACCAATCAAGTGTAGCTAGAAAGGTAAACTATTAAAGTGGCCCAGCTTGAATCAGGTGCCAGTTCCAGGTCAATCTGGAATATCACAACTTTCCAGGGGATCACATGACTAGAGTATAGGGAGGCTCATTTCCCAGAAGATGTGTCACAGAACAATAGCTGTCTTCTATAAGGTCGTGTTCAGGATTATTGATTCTTTTGCATTCTTCTGACTACAGGGCAAGTGCTTAACAAATATATTTTGTCCAATTCTGTATCCCCAGGCCTAGGAAGAATCTGTTGCAAATATTTAATAAATGATGAACTAAACAACTAGTGTAATAATACATTATGGTATACAAAGTGGTTATGTAAAGTTATATCATAGCTAGTGAAAAGAATCTAACAGCTTCTGAATTCTAGTTCTGACCCCTTTATGAATTACCAAACTCTGAGCTTCCATCTTTTCCTCCATAAAATTGAGAGCATCTCTTTCAATGATCATCCTATTTAGATAAGTAACTCTGTGTTGAAAGTAAAAATTATCATGTGCACATAAGAATTACATGCACATTTCAAAGTGTGCTGCATATTTATCATTGCCTTATTTATGGACCAGAAACTATAGAATTGTCATTTTAGCTGAACTAGGTGGAAATATCTCCTTTTCGTGTTTTTTTAGCTCTGTTCAGAGGGATGCATGTCTTCTGGTGGGACAACATAGACTTTAATTTTAGTCCTTAATACAGATTACTCTCCCAATGGGTGATAAGACATACCCCCTGCCAAATAGTTTACTGTGTCTTTGTTTTGTTTTGTCTTTTTTTTTTTCCTCTTACTTTTATTTATTTATTTATTTATTTATTTATTTATTTATTTATTTTAGGTTTTTGTCAAGCAGGGAAAGATTTGCGTTTGGTATCACTGTGCATGGAACAAATCGACATTCCAGCAGGATTCCTCCTGGTAGGGGCCAAGTCTCCCAATCTTCCTGAACACATTCTAGTTTGTGCTGTAGACAAGCGATTTCTACCAGATGATCATGGGAAAAATGCACTTTTAGGTGAGTAATTCGTGCCTGAAAAATTCCTTCCAGGAGGAGGAAATTAAAATACAAGTTTATTTTAAAATTTCACAGAATTAAAAACATACATATTACAGGATTAGTTAGCACTTACATTGTTTAGTTCAAGTATGAAACTGTTTTTAGTAACTTTTAAAAATTAGCTAACATTTGTAAATTTTGAAGCCCTTAATTAAGAGATATTTTGATCAAATGCTAAAATACAGTATATAGTTTGTCAAAAATTAATATTTTAGGTCTGGGAGTATAGCTCAACATTTTAGGTCTGGGAGTATAGCTCAGTGGAAAGTGCTTGCCTGTCATGCTTGGGATTGATCCTTGACATTGCAAAAATATTAATATTTTATAAAATGAAGTGGAATATACTCTGTATAGTCATCCATCTGAACCTGATGGCAACTCTGAACTATTTTTCTGTGGATTATCCACTTTTTAAGACATTTGTAGTTTTTCCATACTACCCATTATTCCTACCCTACTTGATGGATGTGATTCTAATTTTATATTTAACATTAGTTCTCCTAAAATAACTAAGGGGACATAAATGATATAAAATGTATAACCTTATCTCAGAATTTTTTTACTTTCTGGTATGACTTAGACTCCTGAATTTTTCATGGTACAGCTTCTCAACATTATAAGAATAACAAAAAGTTGATTTAAAAACTTATTTTTAACAATTGAGAAGACAAGATGACATATGAAGTTTATTGCCTTTTTGCTACTGTGTTTCTCTAGAGTTGTTTTTGTTTCTCATGATTTCTTTTATTTAAGAGGAATCAGATGTTTTAGGCACAAGTATCAATAGAAAGAATAGAGAAGAGGGCAAAGATTCCACTATTGCATTGATTGTGTGGTGATTTGGTTTGTTTAGTCTGATTCATTCTTCCTACTATACTATGTCATCAGAAAGTCTAGAAATATATCATCAATATATTGAGTTACAAAATGACTCTGAACATGTTTTATGAATGTTTCTTAAATTGCAGTTCAGAGGCATCTCTTGGTTCATAGAAAAAGAAGGGATAATTTTTCTTTTTCTTTTGGAGGGAGGATACTAGGGATTTAACCCAGGGGTGCTTTACCATTGGGCTACATCCCCAGCAGTTTTATATTTTTTTATTTTGAGACAAGGTCTCACTAAGTTGCTGAGGGTCTCACTAAGTTTCCCAGGCTGGCCTATAACTTGAGATCCTCCTGCCTCAACCTCCTGAGTCCCT